AATGCGTCACGGTTTCTGTATCTTGTTATCATCACACCCGTTAGAAACACTGTAGCAATTTCGAGATGGTATTGTTTTTGCATCATTTCATTGTGGTCATTATCTAGAGGCAATAAGTTTTGACTTTAACCAGAAGGGTTTTCATCAGCACTTTCAAACTCAAACGTGAAAGAGTGTGTGTATGATATATATGTGCATACATGTATACACACAAAACCATACATATAAATATATATATAATATATATATATATATATATATATATATATATATATATATATATAATATATATGTGTGGGTGTGTGTGTGTGGTGTGGTGTGTGTGTGTGTGTGTGTGTGTGTGTGTGTGTGTGTGTGTGTGTGTGTGTGTGTGTGTGTGTGTGTGTGTGCTATACGATAGAATTAAAGCATAAACAAGCATGTGTTCGACCATACAAGCCTGAAGAGGCCACGAAACTTTTGGAATATCTTAATCTGTTAGTCAAATTATGATTGATCAAAAAATATTTTAACCTAATTAACGCGCATCTCTCCCGCTATCATGCTCATGGCGAGTTCATTTGTTCCATTGTTTTTGTACTTACAGCTCTTATCACACACAAACACACTATATACATCATACTGTATACTTTAATACGTTTGCATTTAACACTCAAAGCCACCCAGTTATCATCATAAGATCATTGACTCGAAGCATATTCGAAACACCATGAATCAGGTCCTTTAACCCGATAGATAATGTAACCATTCCCTCCCGATAGACAGCGCTATTGTTATATAATTGGGGAATTAAGGGGCGGTAGCACGTTCACGAAAACTTATTTTGTAGTATCAATAACCTTAGGTCAAGCTGCAAAGGGAGGATGTATCAATGCAATATATTGGTAATTGATTCTCTTGAAATAGAGCATGTAAGAAATCAAATTAAATGAACTATTCCTCTACCATTCATCAGAAAAAGGAACAATCTCGTCATGTTACATGGCAGGGAACGTCGTTGTAGTTGTTAGTACTTTAATTCATATTTTTGTGCTGTAAACAAGACCACGGTGGAAGCATGCCTTTGCAAATATTCAGCGAACTGAACTTGGTGCGTGCGTGTGTGTGTATGTGTGTGTGTGTGTGTGTGTTTGAGAGAGAGAATACTCATTGCACTAATTTTAACAATCACAGTACTTTATTAATTCCAATCATCTTGTGCGCAAATGCAAGATAGCATTTTCAAGAAGATTGTTTTGTTGATATCAACTCTCATTTAAAGGTGTTGATATTTTTTAGTATCCCATACATATATTCCGTTTTCTTTGGAAAGCCATTTTCTTTGTAGAGTCGATTCCTCAAGATAATTGTGACTCAAATGGATAACTCATTGAAGATATATATATTTAATAACTTATTGTCATTATTTGTATCTAATTCATATGTAGGTATTTATCCTGATCTTTTGTCAAACCCTTATGAATAAAAGAAAATATGTAAATGAGTGTGTTTAGTCATCCTTTATCCAAAAGGTGTTAACACATTTTCCTGCAGATAACTTACATACTAAGTGAAAATTAAGAAAGAGCAAAGATTTTTGTACGTGTATATTGCCATGATATACATGCAACTGCAAGCATACATTAGTTATTTTAAAACAGAATTTGATAATGACATTCAGTACCTCCTAACTAAATACTTTGACCTTGTTTTAACGGACAAAAGTGGAGGGGAGTCAGTTAGATATCAATAATTACATTTCAAAAGAAAAGGCAATGATACGATACTTTCTTTTTAAATCAAGCACACCATCAAATTTGAGAGTCCAAAATGCCTGTATATTATGAATACATTACACTTGTAGGCCTACTTCAGAAGATATTCGGTAAATCTAAATTTTGCCTCTGAAACGGTTCGGTTCCATAACCTATAACTTAATTCCTCCCACTCCTACTGACAAACTTTTCTCCTCATTTTTCATTTTTTTCCACACACACATGCACACACATATGTATGTACGTGTGTGTATTATGTACATTCCCTGTGATCACTTGTGCACCGTATAATTTGTGCCCCAATCCTAACAGCAAGATATATTTCATTTTACCTTTATACCTAGTACCACCACCCCCACCTAATATCCCTGTTTCCCACAGGTCCCCCTTCCTAAAGCCTGTGTGGTGAAGTTGCTCACTGAAAACCCGATGTTTTGCATAGAAAATGAACACCGGATTCGTTTAGATCATATCAAGGTTCTACATTTTGTCTCTGAAGGTGATGTTATAGGCGAAAAAAGGTAAATTTTGCGTGCATGAAAATCGGCCCTTCACAGACAATATTTGTCATCAATCTTTTTCTTGTATATCAGAGATTTCGCAGGGGTACAACGGACTGAAGTAAAAATGATATTAAATAAAACTGGGCAAAGAGATCGACAAAGAAACGCTTAGAATTTTAGACATGCCTGCCACATTGGAAATTTACAGGCGCCAACTTTCTAAATAGTATATGGGCTATTTTCATTTAAACAAATCCGCCTCAAAAGTCAAAGAAAATGTTTTAAGTTTTCGGGTAAACTCAATCGGATGCTTGGAAGCATAGAGAAATGCTACGTCCTGTAATATTTGTTCATTTACACTCGTATGGCTTATTTATAGACAAGTTAGATCATTTTTGTCACAACGTCCTCAAAGTTTTTTAATCCACGTTATTCACACACACAAAAGAAAAATAAATGCAAGTTGAAAGAATATCAATACTTTCATTTTCTATTTTCTAGTCAGTATGTCATTTTTTTTACAACAAATGTAAAATTAAATGTTGGGGTTCCTTAGATGTAATCATGTGTGTGTGTGTGTGTGTGTGTGTGTGTGTGTTTTATTAAAGAGCCACTGCATGACCCTCGGAAATAAAATTGATAAAAGGTAATTTAAAAACATATCTAAAGCTTTTTTTATTAAATATCATAAGTACAAACAAATACATGTGATCAGATAATCGATAACTTCATCGAAACAATAAGTTAGGAAAACAGTACCTATAATATAACACTAATAATAAAAGCAAAGTAATATGTACAAAAAGAAAAGATCATTACTATTTCATTACTTCACATTATGCCCGTTTCTTTATACTACCCTATGTATATAATGAAGGCCCAGGGTTGAAGAAATAAGCTACTTCTATAGAAAAGAAATGCTTGAGAATAAATATCTTCACAATGTATTTAACCGGTTTCGAATATACCTTCATCAGGAATAGATGTATTCTGCATTGTGAAGATATCCATTCCCATTCATACCTTTAATACATTTATCGACGGTTCTAGAGCTACTTCCCAAAAGGCCGGTTTTTTGGGAGTCCGTGACAGGCCTTTACTTATCACCTGTATTTTCGGGGCATCTACTTACTCTCGTAATAAATATAGATGTACTGTAATTGAGTTTGATCATTTATTGATATTAGATTTAAGCTAGTATCTGGTCAAATCTAAATTGTGTGAGATCAGGGGTTCCTAAGATTGAGAACATTGCGAAAGGTGCCCAGGCTTTACGACAATTGTACCTGGGCCCAAAAGGGTTATTAGTGAACCCTGCGTAGTATGATATTCCTTTGTATTCAGTATATTCATAACATTTTTTCCTGTATATTCTTTCTTCCTCGCTTCCTTCTTCTTGTGTCTACTACCATTGTATCAACAAAGCTTAATGATGATATGGAAAACAACTTTACACTAAGCCCGCATCCTTAGCCATTCCATAGAAAACGGAATCTGGGTCTGCCAAAAGAACAGCTGGAGGGGCAAACTCGGCTATTTTTCCATGGTCTAATACTAATACCCTGCGAAAATAAAATGTAATGTTAGATCATGCTTAAAAATACATATTGTCAAATCAACTCAGTTTTTTGTTTAATGATAATATTTCCCATGCTAATTATCCATGGTTGTGCCACAATCACCTGTCACTATCCATAATGGTGTTGAGGCGATGTGCAATGGTGAGGACGGTGCAGTGTGCGAACTGCGACCTGATGGTGGCTTGGATCAGGTCGTCGGTCTCCAGGTCGACGGCAGCTGTGGCCTCGTCAAGCACCAGCACGCGGGACTTTCTTAGGAGAGCGCGGGCAAGACACACGAGTTGCCTTTGGCCGATGCTGCGAAAAAGAAAGTGGGCCATTAGAATTTATAAAATAATCAGAAGTAGGTAAAATTCCAATAGTCCGTGGTGATAAAACTACAAATTTGGAGTTTAAGACATGTATCAATCGTGAGGATAATTGTTGTTGCATGATATTCACCAAGATATCTTATTTATGTAAGTCCGGAGTGCAAATTCCATGCTCATGTTCGTGTATTTTGTGTTTTGTGATAAACTGACACCTACCGTCACCAAAATGACCTAGTCTGTATGAAACTCCCAAACGAACACTGATTTAACTCTATGCAGAATATGAATCCAAACATCATGACAAACAACTAATGATAAACTCAGTAACAAGTACTAATTAAAACTCCTTAGTAATAAATGACCCAAACACCATAACGACCACTCTAACATAACAAACAAATTAATAACCGCAACGAACAAATAAATAAATATAATAAACCCATTCTGACTGAATAACGAACATTCAAATTAAACTCAATAGCAAACACTCAGACTCCATAACGGCCACCTCATTCGAACTCAACAACGACCATCGAAATCAAATCTCCCAAATTCCCAAACATTCGAACTCCATAACGACTTTCTTTCAAAACGGACCAAAGAACTCACCTGAAATTAGCCCCGCCTTCATCCACCACGTGCTGCAGTCCCATTGGCTGAGCTCGGATGTGGGCGGCGAGGTGAGCCAGTTCGAGCGCCGTCCAGACTTCGGCGTCAGAGCAGAGGCCAAGCGGGTCTAGGTTGAGCCGCAGAGTCCCGCTGAAGAGCACCGGGTCCTGAGGGAACGTGGGGCACAGGCCTATAGTTTTTTTTCCTTTCCTTTAACTTCGTTTCAGAATTTAGCGGGGAATGTTAGATCTGTTTTAACACTTTCGTCGGTTTGTATATAGCGAATACAAATATGAACACCTCGCTTCTGACTTTTGGAAAATGTTAGATTTGATTTTACAACTTTATATAGTGAATACGACACCAAATCCTAAAAAAAAAAAATAAAGGAGCTCACTACCTGGGGAATGATACTGATCCGACCTCTTAGATCGTGGAGGCCAACGCTGGCGATGTTGACCTTATCAATGTCAATCTCGCCGCCCGCTGCTTCAGTCAGTCGGAACAGCGCCAAAGTCAGGGAGGACTTGCCGGCTCCTGTGCGCCCGACGATGCCCACCTGCAAGATGGGTCATTATCGTATTGCTGAACAAGGGGGTGATTGCAAAATTTTATTCTATTAGCTTGTTTGTTATTACTATTGGTGATTGTATTAGCATTTTCTAATCGTCAAGTTGGTTTAGCATCACTATTGTTACTATTACTATTATCACCATTACCATCATTGTAGCTATCATTAATAGTAATGGCATTATTATTATCACCATTATCTGTTGTTGTTTTTCTAAAGCCACGGAACTATCATTTATCTTTCCTTCATCAAAAGCTTCCCATTTTCCTCTCCGTCTCCTTCCTTTTCATCCATCATCCATTCACCCCTTTTTCCTTCTCCTTCCCTTCCACTCCCCTCCTTCCTCTCCCCTTACCTTCTCCGCTGGTTCGAAGGAGCACGTGATGCCCTTGAGGACCAGGTCGAGGCCGGCTCTGTAACGCGTCTGGAAATTCCTGAAGGATATTCGACCTTCTACAGGCCACGCGGAGGGGGTGTCACGTGCGGTCCAGGCTGCCTCTTGGTCTCTCTGGAAAAAGGTTTGCTTATGGTCCCCCTTTCGTCGATTTTGGTTTATTCTTTATTTCATTTTATTTTTCAGCTTTATTTTCTCTCTCTCTCTCTCTCTCTGTCTCTCTCTCTCTCTCTCTCTCTCACTCTCTCTTCTTCTTCTCTTTTTTCTGTCCTCATTTTCAACTGCGACTGATTTGGAACTAGTGAAGTGAGTTAAATATGTCTCTCTAAAGGGGTTATTATTGACTTTCCATTTTCCTCTCTTAATTTCTACTAATACTTACGATTAATAGTAAATTGCCTGGTGTTTGTGAAACCAATTAGCACTTTGCTGCGTGAGATTCTGTAGTCTTCAGTGCATGAAAAGTGTGTGTGTGTGTGTGTGTGTGTGTGTGTGTGTGCGTGTGCGTGTGCGTGTGCGTGTGCGCGTTGCGTGCGTGTGTGTGTGGCAGGACACCATTTTGTGTATATATAATAAACCTATACATGACATAATCTGTAGTTAACATAAAAGTTCTTTAAAATTTTCTGATATGGAAACACATAAAGGAAAGGCCTCACTATTGAAGGAGAAAGAGGAGTGTCTTAACAAACCTCCAAGTAGTCGTTGACCCTTTCCACGGACACAATATTGGCCTCCATCTCGGCTGAGATGCGCACCAGGTATTCGAGGTCGCTGGTCAGCTGTGGAGACAAGGCATTTAGTCTCTTTCTCTCTCATTATATATATATGTATATATGTGTATATATATACATACATATATATACATATATATGCATATATAAATATAAATAAATATATATAAATACACACATACATATATATATATATATATATATATATATATATATATATATATATATATGTATGTATGTATGTATGTATACATATTTATAAATATGTTACGTATGTATATATATTACATATGTATATATACATATGTACACACACACACACACACACACACACACACATATTATATATATATATATATATATATAATATATATATTATATATATATATATATATATGCGTGTGCGTATACATGTGTGTGTGTATGTGTGTGTTGTGTTGTGTGTGTGTGTGTGTGTGTGTGTGTGTGTGTGTGTGTGTGTGTGTGTGTGTGTGTGTGTGTGTGTGTGTGTGTGTGTGTGTGTGTGTGTGTGTGTGTGTGTGTGTGTGTGTGTGTGTGTGTGTGTGTGTGTGTGTGTGTGTGTGTGTGTGTGTGCGTGCGTGTGCGTGTATAAGCCTCGCGCACCACTTACATTGAGGGCGTAGGACAGGGCGAGTCCCATGAGGCTGGCCCCGACGTAGTCCCGCCCGACCACGCCCACCACGGCCGTCGTGAGGGTGATCAGATGCCCGACGGTCTCCAGGTTCACTCCCGCCCATCTAGAAGGGTTCAAACGGAACAGAATCAATGAAAATGAAAAAAAGTGTTTGTGTTGTACATGCACGAAAAAATATAGTAATCATAATATTAGTACGTCAGAACAAACTGACCACAAGTAAGAAGCTTTTGAAAAAAAAAAAAAAATCATATAATGACCTACACCATTTCAATGCAACAACTTTTGCCAACAGTAATTTCAGAATTTTATTTCTCACTTTTTCAACCGTCGCGGGGAAAATACTTCACCATTAAGTTACGCGTACGGCAGCCATATCCGATTTCTCGCGGTTAGGCGTACGGCACATATATGCGTATACGAATATAAACATCATTCCCAGGTAACAGATATAAATCCAACCTAACATAAACTAACTTAACCTAATCTAACCTAACTGAACCGAACCTAATTGAGAGTGGTACCATCTTTTCGTGTCATCTTGTTAGTTCCGCCCACGCATGCGCAGAACACCAACCGGGGTTTTTTTTCTGCCGTACCAATAGTCACTACCTAAAAATAAAATGGGCTCGTAGTAGCTCACCTGTTGATAGCGGTATTGGCGTACACAGCTTTCAGCGAGAAATCGATCTTATGAAGAGAGTCCTCGTAGAATTCTTGTTGCTTTTTAAACGCTCGGATTATGGACACTCCTGGAAGACAAATTATAAATGAAATGCAAAAAATGGCGTTTAAGATTTTCGTTTTTGTTCTTTTCTTTTGAGAGGCAAGAGAAACGGATGAGAAATTTACGAAGACCAGATGAAGACCGATATTACTAGCAGCAAAGCCTTTATTGCATGTGCACGTGAGTGAGGATGTGAGTCCTGCTTTGCCTGTTGATTAACTATAAAATGTACTTGCCAGTTATGCAAGGAAATTTACATATTTGGTAGAAGCAAGGAAAGTAGTGTCACAAAATCAGTACTATTGTCACTTCACTTCAGTCAAACACCACAATTCTTCATCACAGGCGCTATCTTCGTAAGATTCTCGCTTTGGCAATCTTATATGGTAAATTTACCTTCCAAAGGTAAACTACATGCAACAACAGTTATGACATGTGATCTGCTATCATACAGCCATATCCGCGAGTCTGCAATTTTACACACGCGAATACCTATAGGATTACATGTGCTTTACACACGCAAATTCCTATAGGCCTACATGTGCACACACACGAGCACCCAAAGGCCTACATGTGCTTTGTACACGCGAACACCCGTGGGCCTACAAGCGCTTTACACACACGAACACCCATAGGCCTACAAGTGCTTTACACAGGCGAACACCTATAGGCCTAAATGTGCTTTCTCGTGATATGATTTGCCTCACCTTGAAGGGTCTCGCTGAAGTGAGAGTACACAGGGGATCTTGAGACGGACGCAATGCGCTTGAGTTGTCTTGACGAGGCGATGTAGAAAGACTGGACAGCGTAGTAAAGGGCCATGATCGGCACCACGAAGAGGCCAGCGGCGGGGATGGCGGCGATGATCATGATTATGATTATGATAACCTGGAAATCAAGAATGTTTTAGACATTATGGATATGTCGACACAAACTAACATATTTATTTATCTATCTATCTGTTATTGCTGATAGAGACAAGATGGTACGTCAACAATGTATCAAGTTCAGAGCAACCGAGGAAGCTTCTGCAAATCCGCCTCACAAATCGACCCCTCCCACCTGCAAGGAACGTTCGAAGGAGGCGGAGACGACGTCCGGCAGGATGATGTCCAAGACGCTGATTTCCTTGCTGAACCTGTTGATGATCCTCCCGCTGGGGTTGGTGTCGAAGAAGCTCATGGGGAGGCGTATGACGCTCTGCAGAAGGCGCTGGTGGAGGGTCCGCGACGCTCTTAGGCATCCTTGCATTAACGATAGCATTCCCAGGAACAGGAACAAGGCTGTCAATGGAGATGGAATGTGCAGCAAGTAGAACAAAAGCCATCACTACCACTGTTATTATGATTATTACTATCAACAACAAATACGCCATAAATAGACCGAGATGAATGTACTATATGTACATATTCCTGCAATAACTCCTGTAACGCATACACACAATAAAGAAGAGAGACAGTTGCTTACCTTGCGCGACTCCAAAGGCCCCATAGCCAAGCAGGAACACTTCTCGGCTGACAGCGAAGCTTCTCGAAGTAATGTTTGCGCCACCGGAATCGTTTGCGCTTGTGAAGGAATATTTTGACAACCACAAATTACTGCTAATATAACTAGTCTGAAACCAAAGTTGCAAGAAGCTTAATACAAATGAAGTGGAGATATAAAGATGTGTTTGTTTCACTTTATGTTCCACAGTAATTACTCTTGGTGCCATGAGGCCGCCTATTACTGTTAAATAATCTTAAAACGTTGGCACAGAATATATGCTTACCTGTCCAAGAGCTATAAAGACCAGAGGAACCACAGTATAAACTAAACCTATAGATTTTCCATATGTTAGGTAGACGTGTCGAGATATCTGTGAACGCATTATGTTGTATTAGGGGATGTTATGATTCGATTTCCTCAAGGAAGAAAAGCAAACAAAAATAGATTCGTATACATGCACTCATCCATATACACATCCATTTTTGTATACGCAGATGACATATGCATGGATATATGAACACTTTCAATATATATTTTCAATATCAAATTTCTATCCAACCCCATATAGCCATGTGGTACTAAATTTAATAATACGTTAACTATAATTCATACAATACATTCTCCCACCTTTCCTGTTTCAGACGTTTCCTCTTGCACTAGCGTTTGTCCTCTGGTCGTTCTGCTTCTAACGTCCTCTTTCTTTCGCATCTTTTCTGTCTCTTCTTTTTCATCATCATTGATCTTCATGATGAACATCGGCATGTCCCTACCACATAAAACTAATATGTTAGAATTCCTCTACATTCACTTGTTTCTCTATAAAACATCCTTTTTATGGCAATAGTTTGGTATTTTAAATAATTTTTACATATTCATTATTCAAGTTTGGTATAATAGCGTTAAACTAATTTTGCATAAAAAATGCTACATATTTTTGTCATATTTTCACAAATGTTTGATAATGCCTTTTTTCTTGAAAATTCCTGAAGTTGGGCACCAGCTACTTATATCAGCTGCTCTGTTTTCTTTTACCTGTTGTTGTTGTGAACATAAGACTTGCTGGACTCCGACGACTCCTGACGAAGGAAAGAATTAGCTCTCGACAGCTTCAGATCTGCTAAAAAAAAAGTAAGAAGTCCTATACTGCTTGAAAACAAAGCGTGTGTTGGGGAAAAAAGGTGAAAATTTATGATCTACGACTTAAGGAAATACAGCCTGTGTGTATGTGTCTCAGTCTAAGATCTCTTCCCCTACAATTTTTTTCATTGTACTTTCTCCGTTACTCTCCTACCTTTTTCGGATTTGTCTTCTGCGTTTTCATTCTGGTGCCGCAGTACATAGCTGGCGAAGTCTCCCTGTTTGGCTACAAGGTTGGTATATGTGCCTTTCTCCAACATTTGGCCGTCCTTGATCACTATGACCTCATCCACTCGAGGTAGAAAGGTCACAGCATGGGTCACCAAAAGGCGAGTCTGGATGGAATCATAGGTGACTGATCAGCGAAATGAGGTTTCTCTACAAATTTGAAAATACATGTATACATGCTAAGGTTAGTTCCCCTTTGCTATTAGCTAAATGAATATCTAGCTTTACTTAGGCTATTCTTAAGAAAAAAAATACTGTACTCTGCATCCACATACCTTGTCTTTCAGAATACCCTGAGGTCCGATGACATTTTCGAAAATGAATCGACCAACGTGGGCATCGACAGCACTCAGAGGGTCATCAAGCAAGAAGATGTCAGCACCACTGTAGACAGCACGAGCCAAGGACACGCGCTGCTTTTGGCCACCACTCAGGTTGATGCCCTAGATGCAAAAATATTATATTGGCCATTTAATAGTGATATCTTTTTCACTAAGTGATATGAAATGCATTATGAGAGATTTTTGAAAAAAAAAAAAAAAAAAAAACACGTAACTTCATTTACTGTAATCTGCCACACAAATGTTCATTTGAAAAGTTTCTCTGACCTTTTCTCCTATCTCTGTCATGTCACCTCCAGGGAACATGTCAAGGTCTTGCTGGAGAGCACAAGCTGTCACCACCTGTCGGTACCTTTTGTCATCGAAAGGCTGACCCCAGATGATGTTGTCCCTCAAGGTGGCATTCTGGAGCCACGCCTGCTGGGACACATATGCCACGCGGCCCTACAAACGTAACCTTCATTAGAATCTTCACATTATAGATACACACAGCAGATAAGAAAATAAAATCAAATTTTGGTTTTAACACATGTTCTTTGTTTATATTTAACTCATCTAGATCTCACTTTGTTGTTATTGAGACTGCAATGCTAGTTTTGAGTTTACATTTTATCTGAGTGCAGGGGAAAAGTATCTATCACTGTTTATATAGATACTGCAATTCATCCTTTTGATAAGTTCAGATGTTTTGAGATGGATTTTTAGTCGGTACAAATGTCACTGTTTATAATAATGGATAATGCAATTTTTCCTAAAGATAAGTTCAGAAGCACTGAGATGGAATTTAAAAGTCAGTATAAATGCAAATATAAACTAGCACACTTACATTGACAACAACTTTGCCCTCTCGCTTCCGCATCTCCCCCAGGAGCGCCGAGATGAGAGAACTCTTGCCAGCACCCACGGATCCCACCACTGCCACCAGTTTCCCGTGACCAACTTCCAGATTGATGTCTTTCAATTCCCAGGTTGCCTGGTCTTCGTCGCCCGCCCAGGTGAATTTGCCGCCTCGAACGACTATAGCATTGACTAAAAGATAGTTCTTTGTCAGAAACATGGAATATTTGATAAAAAAAATCTTTCCTGTAGGTTTTCAAGAAAATTTCATATAAGCAGTACGAATGTGGAACGAAGCATATAGAAAAACAAAAACAAATTGTGTATATGAAAAACGTATACCAGAATGAGGTCGTATTGTAAATTACAAAATGATAATCCGTGAGTAAAAAATGCAATAAATGCAATTACCTTCAGTATGATCTCTGACTACAGCTGTTAGATCCAGTTCTTCTGCATTGGTGAACTTCTGGAGTCGCTTTAAAGCCACAGTTGCCTTCAGAAATTGGGAAGTTGTTAATACCGCTGACAATAGGGGGCATATAGTCTTGTGAAGTCATAATCTTATGGGAAAATTAGGTTCTGGTTTTCCTAATACTGCACACAGGAACCCTGAGCATAGACTAACCATCTTGGTCTAACTCAAGTATACTCTAGACGATTAGTATATCATACTCTAGTAGTAGAGAATAAGAGTTTCTTTGAGAACGCTTTTTCAAAAACTATGAAGAGGAGTGATAGTAATGAGAGGAAGACAAGCTGGACTATTGATCATTGACAAACAAAGGCTTGCATTATGATCAGGTCCCCGCTCAGTGTTCACATTCATCAACTTCATACCTGGATTATGTCGGAGACGAGGATGGGCAGCCTACAGATTGGTATCCTCATGATGTTGAATAATGATATAGACACGAAGGCTTTTTCTACATCAAGAATGTTCTCTGGAGACACTAGCAAGTATGTCGTGAAGGTGGCCAGAGCGACCTGAAGAGTGAGAGAAACTATTACTGCATCGGAGAATAATGGAATAATCACTTTAGGACCATTAGTGATTGAAATTCCTGTAGATAAACGCTGATATTAAGATATGAGAAGCATGAACTTTCATATGAAGTATGTCACTATTGCCGAGTTTGTTTCAGTAATTTACTGCGAATAACTTACTGTATATGGAGATGTGCCAGATAAGAAAGAATTGAGGGCTCTATAAATGGCCACCTTCTGTAGAAGATTCATTTCTTTTCTCCTGATCTTGTCTACCATGCTCGAGAAGGCCCCCTCCCAAGCATACAATTTCAATACCTGCCAGGTCATTGCATGCAAAATAATACACATATTAGACGTGTTTATTAACGGCATGTTGAAGGAACACAGTTATACCAACACGACAGGTCACTCATTTGAAAAGTAATTTAAAACGACTTTCACAAGTCAAGAACGACTAATATAGAAAAAAATCTTTTGTTTCTCTTCCAACAGGCTACGGATGATTATAAATCCTCCAAACAATAACAAAATAACAATTGTTCACCTTAATTCCACTAATGATCTCGTTCATCATCTTCACCCGTTGATCTCCGAACTTCATATTGGCTTGTTGGAGGACCTTGACCCTGTTGGCCAAGAAGCTGGTCAGCGGAACCAGGAGAACCAAGACCGCTACTCCGGCCAGCACACTCGCTCCTATGTTGTAAGAATTAGGATAAAAATTGGTTCATGCGAGCGATTTAGATAAAACAAATCAAATCACGTAAATGTTATTTGAATACGAGTCAAATAACTTTAATACAATTCAATTAAAAGTCAAGTAACTAAAACAATTCAAGCAAAAGTCAGATAACTCTAATACGTCAAATAAAAGTAAAATAACTTGAATACAAGACTTTCATGCTCATAAAAAATAAAGACATTACAGTCCTACAATAAGCGATGCTGGCTGAACATATTTCACGCGGATCATGAAACACATATATATATATATATATATATATATATATATATATATATATATATATATATATATATATATATAATGACAACACATTACCGTATTGATAAATAGAAAAAGAGAAAAACAATGCATAAAACATTTCTTTTATAAAAAGACGCCACCCATCTTTCATTAGTATTTGTCTGATATTTCTTTTCATCGCTTTCGACTATAAACCTAAAAATAAACACAATTAAAAGCAGGCAGACCATCTTACCGAGTTCTTGCCAAAGAAAGGAGATGGAGGCGACGATGATCACAGGGAAGGTAACGACGAAGCAAATCGGCGAAAAAATCCTTCCAAGAATCTGCGCATCGACCGCCATCAGGTTAACGATCTCGCCGACGCTCGACTCACGACGAGCCGTTCCCGAGAGGGAGAGAGCCTGCGACGGAGAGAGGAAAGGGAGAAATGATAAGAAAATGCAGCTGAATGGACAAGAATGGGCCAGAATTCAAGAAAAGTCGAAGTGAAATAGATTTTACGTAATTAAAAACGACGATCTAAGCGTCTTAACCGTCGCACTTAAGATATACAGTTGAGAAGTACAATCAAATGGCCCATATTCAAGAAAAGTTGAAGTGAAATAGATGTCATAAACTAAAAAAAAAAAAAAAAAAAAGACGACCTAAGCGTCTTAACCGTCGTACTTAACACATACAGTTAAGAAATACAATTAAATGGCCCAATATTCAAGAAAACTCCAAGTGAATATTAAATCGCAAAAAATAATAATAATAAATAAAAATCTAACCGTCCTAACCGTCGAGCTAACAACCTGTAAAAAAAGTATGAATGAGCATAAATATCTCCACAATACAAGAGAAATATTTGACCAGTTTCGAATACATTTTCACGCATTTCCGACGAAGATATACTCGAAACCAGTTAAATACATCTCTTCCATTGAGAAGATATATCCATTCTCACTCATACCTTTCCAACATTTGTCAACATGAACGCGGTACATACCCCCAACCGCCCATAAAACAAACAAACAAACCCAATCCACATCCTCACTCACCTTACGATACACAGCCGTCATGATGGCCGACCTGATCCTCGCCGAAAGACAATACATCTTGTAGTTGAAAACGTTCTTGAGCAGAGAACTCGCGCCACAGGACAGGAAGAGGGAGACGGCGTAGAAGTAGCCACGCCATCCGGGTTCGTCGTTTCCCGCCACGAAATGGATGATTCGACTGAAGAAGAGGAAAAAGAGGGAGGGAAATGAGGAGGGAAGGTCGAGTGTGGGGCAAATGCTGTGCTGATGTTGGGGAAACGATTTTGAATATCGCTGATCAGATCGATTGAAGAACTGTGTATGAAGTGTGTGTGTGTGTGTGTGTGTGTGTGTGTGTGTGTGTGTGTGTGTGCATATAAATATATAAAATTATATATAAATATACATGTATATATATACATACAAGCATAGATACACACAAGCATATATGTAGCCTACATATGTGTGCCTGTATATGCAATCTACATACACACACACCTGTACCTATATGTGTGTGCGTGTGTATAAAAGACACTGGATAAAGCAGCATGTTAGGACCGACCCGCGCGTGAGACGACCCAGCACGCAGTCGTCACATGATGCGACTCACCCGAGGATCCGAGGAGTGAGGAACCGCAAGCCCTCCGACAGGGAGTAGAAGAGCAGCGAGGCGAGGAAGGCGCCCCTCGCCATCCTCCACAGGCAGAGCGGGAGGGAGCCGTCGCTGCCTGGCCTCGCGACCCTTTCGTAGCGGGCTCTCCTTTGCGATCTGTGTGCCGGTGAAGTGGATTCCTTGTCTCTGGAAGTGAAGAATAAGTTGATGGTAATTAAGAATAGGTCATGCTCAAGTTAATGCCCATGTCCATACAACACACACACATAAACACACACATACACATACATACACACACAGAAATACACACACACCTGCACCTGTTGATAGCCTGATCCCACCGAACCGCGAGCGTCGAGGAAGAATTCTGTGGCTCGATGTCCCACAGGTCATCCGAGGTCAAGGGGCGTCTCCAGCCTTGCCAGACGAGAGGCAGAGACCACCAGAAGAAGAGGCGGCTTAGGAGGGACGCCTGCAGCAGCGGAGACGGCTTCTGAAGGAACAGGCACCACAAGAGGTAATGAAATATCGAATCCCTATCGAAGCAACTATGGTGAGAGCAACAGAGGGAAAATTTGAGAAAATTTGTGGTATTAGAAACTAGGGCTAAACTTATGGTAGAGGGAATAAAGGCTAAATTTATGGTAGAGGAAATAAAGGCCAAATTCATGGTAAGACACAAAAGAACTTTATTTATTTTACGGACAGATGTTTGGTATAAGAAATCAGTGCTACAAGGGACCTTATTTTCGAAGAAACTACAATATCACCTGGTATAACAAAATATGTCGATCTCATTTTGGTAAGAAATGACCAATATGGCGAACACGGGCCATTATTTGTGAAAATAATATTCTGACAAGAAAATATAGTCATGTTAAACAAGAGACTTTTCTGGTCAAAGTAAATGAATCACCAGAAGTCCTTACCTCCGACGCGTCGCCCTCCTTGGCAGAGGGGGGGTCGCTGAAGGAGGAGGCGAGGAACAGCGCGACGTTACACAGGAACTGTACGATGAAGGAGGCGGCGACGGTGCGGGGAACACCCTGGATCTGTGGACACGGAGGGCGCAAAATGGGAATGAAAACGTTTGTTGAAAAATTTGGGATATTCAAATAAATAGAACATCAAAATTGTGTGTGCGCGCCCACACACACACACACACACACACACAATATATATATATATATATATATATATATATATATATATATATATATATATTATACACACATGTATATCTCTATCTACAATCATACCCATTTGTGTATCTACTTTTTTATATCTATGACATGCCATCCATCTATCTGCCAACAATTCTATCTGTCTGTTTATCTGATCTAAAAGTGAATAAACAAACTCAAAAGTGGGTCATAAAATCACTAATTAAGAGCGAATGAAAACCATTTTCATATTACAACTGGAAAAAACTAGCCACTCACTCTTCCGTTTAATCCGCTGAAGAAAGAGTAGAGTTGAGGGAGGCTGCACACTAACGAGAACAGCCAATACAGCCAGACGACCCCGCTGCTCCGTGCACCTTTCCTCCTCCCCAACAGGATCAGCAACATGTGAAGGCTCTTTGAGAAATACACCAAAGGAAATTGTTTACTGGTCTGGCTGTTGGAAAATGACCATATTCAGTCAAATTAATCTCTTGTTCAACCAATTGAATCGAACTGGTTGATTGTCTCGGTATATGAACCTCATGACTGGCACTGAGTCAATCTGAAACTGAATTCAATCAAGGGAGGAAAACAAAAATGAAGGATCACTGTGTTGAGTGTACGTGCGTCCTTGCGTGCATATGATTGTGTGTTCGTGCGTGCGTGTGTTTTGTTTGTTTGTGTGTGTATGTGTGTGGGAGCGTGCGGGCGTGCGGGCGTGTGTGCGTATGTTCGTATTTCTGTCTGTATCTGTGTCCGAGTATGTGCCCGTATATATACAAGTGTATGTATGTGTCCGTGTCTGCATCTGTGAGTACATGCATGTCCATAACTCCACAGACACTAATTATCCTCACATAAGAGGCCAAGAGAACCCCCCCGGCGATGACCTCCGCCGGGGGCGCCCTCTCTCCGCCAGCCGACGCCGCCCAAGCAAGCTGGCTGACCGTCGTCGCAAGCAAGATCGCCGTGAAGAACTGAAAGCAAAACGGAATGATTAGCTTGCATTTCCTGAATTCATTTTTATATTACTCTCGATCTTGAAATCATTTTATATTACATTTAATACTGAAATAATTTTCATATTACATTTGATCCTGAAATGATTTTTTTATTACACAATACTGAAAAAAAAAATTATATCACATTCGATCCTGAAATAATCTTTATATTTCATTCGATTCTGAAATATTTTTTATATTACATTTAATACTATCATTTTCATATTGAATTTGATCCTGAAATTATTTTTCATATTACATTTAATACTGGTCATTTTTATATATTTGATCCTGAAATTATTTTTATATTTGATACTGAAAATCATGTTTATATTAAACTTGTTACTGAAGCATCCCTTGAGTGCATTTGATCCAAAAAGTATATTTAGAGTACATTTGAACTTGAAAGCATACTTATATCAAAAGAATCATCTTAAATATATCAATCTATGTCAAATTGGGAATGGATACGCATTGAAGGTATTGCAATTAATGCTGAAAAATATTTAAATTGTAAGGCTAATCATACAAATATCAAATATCAGAATGGCTGATCGTACACTTGTTATTGAAAGCATATATGTATTGCATTTGATAATGAAGCATTCCTTTAATGACATGGCAAGCATTATATTGAATACAGGAAGCAGCCTTAACTTCAAATGGTAGATATCATTGTTTGTTGTCACTATCATCATCATCAATTAAAATTATTACAATCCTCACTAGTTATATTATCACAATCATTATCGTTATTTTTCATGATCATTTTCATCAGCATTAGTTTTTGTTACTATTATCATTATTATCATCATCATCACCACCATCATCATTGTCGATATTTCAGGATCATTTACCAGCCTTACAATTATCGATATCATCATAATCATCATCAATAACTGCTTTTCTTTAGGCTCCATATAATTGAAACATCGAATTCAACTCATTTGTTCACTATGTCTTTATTCTAAACTACTCCATATAACCATTCTACTTCTTCACTCAATATCGCCATTATAATTAAGTCCCTGGCTTAATCTTTCTTCGAGAATTATATATTTGTGTGAGAAAACCTGGAGGAATATATGTAAGGGGAAACTAAACTAACTTATCTATTGCATAATAAATAAATAATAGGGAGAAGAGAGAAGAGAGAGAGGAGAGAGAGAGAGAGAGAGAGAGAGAGAGAGAAGAGAGAGAGAGAGAGAGAGAGAGAGAGAGAGAGAGAGAGAGAGAGGAGAGAGAGAGAGAGAGAGAGAGAGAGAGAGAGAGAGAGGCAGAGAGAGACAGACAGGAAGAGAAAAGAGAAATCAACAAAAAGAGAGAGACCCAAGAGAAAACAAGAGAGAGAGGGAGAGAAGAGAAACCACCACAGAGAAAAGCGCCAACACTCACCACTTTACAGCTCACAAGAAGCGACCATGAAGTGGGGTTGGACGGGCGCCTCCTGAGCTGGGCGAGGCGCGGCAGCCCAAACGCCCACAGCAGGAGACTCGGCGCCCACACCAGCGCCGTCCTTTCCATGCACGCGCCCATCTCTGGAGCCTCGGACGCCCATAATCGGGTTGCATTCTGAGATAATCATGAAAATAATCGTCATTATGGTTGAAGTGAATTTTAGGAAGGATGAAAATAAAACAATTTTAGGATTTAATTTTATCTTATACATTCTGTTTCTTGTTTATCATTTTTATTTTACGTGGCTATTTTTCTTCTTCCACTCCACTTCCCTTTTCTTACGATAAATAAATCAAAAGAGATTATTTTTTTCCTTAACTCAATTATCGATTATGTCCCAAAACCAATACGTTCTTGACAACACGAAAATAAAGAAAACATTAAGAAATATATTATTTTTTTTCTTGTAGAAATACCATATAAAATGAATAAATAACACGTATCAATCAATCAACACAAATCAAATAAGAAAAAGAAATTAGATTAGATTTATATAATATAATTAGATTTATAAAAAGAAAAACACTTATTTTAGTTTCCCTTGTCGACTCACCCAAAAAGGTTCCCGACAGATGGCGCTGAGAGTCTGGAAGGAATCCGGGACTTCGACGGCCGAGGTGGACGCCATGGGTGTACGCTGCGGTGTTTGCTTCTGGAAGTCTGGAAGGTAGAACTTTTTTAGGCGTACGAGTAAATGGAATATACTATTATACTTACACGCACATACACACACACACACACACACACACACACACACACACACACACACACACACACACACACACACACACACCACACACACACACACACACACACACACACACATACACACACACACACACACACACACGCATACACACATACACACGCATATGTAATATAAACATAGAATATAA